ACTTCTCGGGTTTTCATTTTTCAATCCAATTTTTAAATTTTTTGAATCTTCAGGTTTTTAATTTCTCAAATTTTCAGTTTCTCGATGTTTCGATTTCCCGATTTTTTATTTTTTTGAAGATTGGACTACCCCATCTTTCGATTTTTTGATTTATCGAGATTTCGAGGTTTCGATTATTCATTGTTCAATTTTCAGATATTTCAATTTTTCGATTTCTCTTCTTGAATTTTCGATTCTTCAATTTTCCGAGTTTTAGATGTTTCAGTTTTGGCATTCCTCAATTTTTCGATATTTCAGCTTTTTATTTTTCACTTTTTCGATTTTTGGTGTTTCTAAATTTTCGATTTTTCGATTTCTCGACTTTTCGATGATTATTTCTCGACTTCTCGGGTTTTCAATTTCTCGATTTTTCAATTTTCATTTCATTGATTTTTCAATTTTTTGATGTTTCGACTTTTCGATTGTTTGACTTCTCAATTTTATATTTTACGATTTTTCAGTTTTTCAATTTCTCGATTTATCAAGATTTCGACGTTTCGATTATTCAATTGTTCAATTTTCATTTTTTTTATGTTTCCATCTCTCGATTTTTCCACTTTTCCATGTTTCGATTACTCGAATTTTCGATTCTTAAATTTTTCGAATTTTGAATTGTTCAATTTTTTGGATTTTTGATTTTCAATTTTTGGATTTTTTATTTAAATTTTTTCAGTTTTGGGATTTTTCACTGTTTCGATATTTCACCCTTTTGTTCTTATTTTTCGATTTTTGGTGTTTCTAAATTTTTGATTTCCCGATTAAGCGACTTTTGGATTTTTTTATATTCCCATTTCTCGATTTCTCCAGTTTCTGATTATTCGATTTCTCGACTTCTCGGGTTTTCATTTTTAATTTTTTCAATCCAATTTTTCCATTTTCGAACTTTTCAATTTTTTTAATCTTCAGGTTTTTAATTTTTCAATTTTTCAGTTTCTCGATGTTTTGAATTCATGATTTTTTATTTTTTTGAAGATTGGACTCCTCGATCTTTCAATTTTTTGAATTATCGAGATTTCGACGTTTCGATTATTCATTGTTCAATTTTCAGATTTTTCAATTTTTCGATTTCTCTTCGAGAATTTTCGATTCTTCAATTTTCCAAGTTTTAGATGTTTCAGTTTTGGGATTCCTCAATTTTTCGATATTTCAGCTTTTTGTTTTTCACTTTTTCGATTTTTGATGTTTCTAAATTTTCGATTTCTCGACTTTTCGATAATTATTTCTCGACTTCTCGGGTTTTCAATTTTTCAGTTTTTCAATCTTTCAAGTTTTCGATTTTTTGATGTTTCGATTTCTCGATTTTTCAATTTTCATTTCATTGATTTTTCAATTTTTTGATATTTCGACTTTTCGATTGTTAGACTTCTCAGTTTTAATTTTTCCGTTTTTTCAATATGTAATTTTTTGATTTTACATTATTTCGACTTCTCGACTTTTCGCTTTCTCGATCCTGTCATGTTTCGATTTCTCTCTCTTTTTTTTTAATTTTTCGATTTCTCGGCTTTTTGAATAAATTTTTCCATGTTGCGATTTATCAGTTTTTCGATTCAACTTTTAAAATTTTAGATTTTTCGATTTCTCATTTTTTCAGTTTTTAGATGTTTCAGTTTTAGATAGGATTCTTAGATTTTTCGATTAATCTATTTTTGTATTTTTTTATTCTCATTTCACGATTTCTGGACTTTCCGATGATTCGATTTCTTAACTTTTCGGGTTCTCAATTTTTCAGATTTTCAATCCAATTTTTCGATTCTTCAGGTTGACTTTTGAGTTTCCCGATTTTTCAATTTGCAATTCATCGATGTTTCAATTTTTTGAAGATTCAACTCCTCGATTTTTTTATACCTCCATTTCTCGACTTTTTGATGTTTCGATTTCTCGAATTTTCGATTCTTCAATTTTTCGAATTTTCGATTCTTCAATTTTTCGAATTTTGAATTGTTCAATTTTTCGAGTTTTTGATTTTTCAATTTTTGGATTTTTTATTTAAGTTTTCGATTTCTCGGTTTTTTCAGTTTTTAGATGTTTCAGTTTTAGGAGGGATTCTTCGATTTTTCGATATTTCAGCTTTTTGTTCTTTCGATTTTTGGTGTTTCTAAATTTCCGATTTCTAGATTAAGCGACTTTTGGATTTTTTTTATATTCCCATTTCTCGATTTCTCCACTTTCCGGGTTTTCGATTTTTCAGTTTTTGATTTCTCAATTTTTCGATTTTTCAATTTACAGTTCATCGATTTTTATTTTCTATTGTAAGATTTGTAAGATTTAAAAAATATACAAAAAAGAATACTAATTTTTTAAATTAAGAAATTCACTTATAGATAAAGTCATATTTGAGAAGTTTTTAAGCTAAAACTTTAGAAAACTAACAAAATGTTGATTAAAATTTGCAAAATGTCTCTAGTGTTAATGAAATATTTAAAAAAATTGGAAAGTTCAATTTATTGAAAATTAAAAACTCCGAAATGCGTTTGCTACATTTATTTATCTCAGTGTAAAACGTTGTTTTTGTTTGTTTTTTTTTTAACAATTTCAGATAAGCGATTGTTTTTCGATTTCTCAACTTTTCCATTTCCCGATTTCTCAATTTTCCGATTTTTCTTTTTTTCCGTTTTTCAAGTTTTCGATTTTTCCATTTTTCAGTTTCCCGGTTTTTCGATCTCCCGATTTCTCGGTTTTTCAATTTTTCCATTTTTCAGTTTTTCGTTTTTTTGATTTCCCGATTTCCCTCCCGATTCTTGATTTTTCGATAATTCAAGTTTTTGATTTTTCGCTTTTTCAACATTTCGATTTTTTAATTTTTCAATATTTCCATTCGACAATTTCTCGAAATTTCAATTTTTCAAATTCCCCGTTTCAAGGTTTTACAATTTTTTGATTTTTCAATTTCCCGATTTCTCAATTTTTCAGCTTTAGGAGTTTTCGTCATTTCGATTTTTCGACCTTTCAGTTTCTCGAGTTTTCGATATATCGATTTTTTTTATTTTTCCACTTTCCAACTACTAGGTTTCTCAGTTTTTCAATTATTCAATTTCCCACTTTCCCAATTTTTCAATTTCTCGATTTTTTGCCTACAATTTTTGAAGTTTTCGATTTCTTGATGTTTTGCTTTCCCAATTCTCGTTTTTTCAATTTTTCGATCTCAGGTTTTTAATTTTTCGTCATTTTTCAGTATCTTGATTTTTCAATATTTCAGTTGCTCAATTTCCCAATTTCTCAATTTTTCGATTTTTGAATTTTTCTGTTTCGATTTCGATTTCCCGATTTTTCAAATTTTCGACGTTTCGATTATTCACTATTTTTCAATTTTTTGACGTTTCAGTTTTGGGATTCCTCATTTTTCGATATTTCAGCCTTTTTTTTTCACTTTTTCGATCTTTGGTGTTTACAAATTTTCGATTTCTCGATTAATCGATTTTTTGATTTTTTTTTACATTCCCATTTCTCGATTTCTCGACTTTTCGATGATTTATTTCTCGACTTCTCGGGTTTTCGATTTTTCAATTTTTTGATGTTTCGACTTTTCGATTTTTTGATGTTTCGATTTCTCGATTTTTCAGTTTTCATTTCATCGATTTTCAATTTTTCAGTTTTTCAATCTTTCAAGTTTTCAGTTTTTCAATTTTTTGATGTTTCGACTTTTCGATTTTTTGACTTCTCAGTTTTAGATTTTACGGTTTTTCAATTTTTTAAATTTCCCGATTTATCGAGATTTTGACGTTACAATTTTTCGATTTATCGACTTTTTAAGTTTTTAATTTGTCCGTTTTTTCAATATGTAATTTTTTGATTTTACGGTATTTCGACTTCTCGACTTTTCGCTTTCTCAATCCTTCATGTTTCGATTTTTGTTTTTTTTTAATTTTTCGATTTCTCGGTTTTTTGAATTTCGAATTTTTCCATGTTGCGATTTTTCAATTTTTCAATTCAATTTTTAAAAGTTTAGATTTTTCAATTTCTCATTTTTTGAGTTTTCAATTTTTCGATTATTTAAACTGTACATTTTTCAATTTTACGACCTTTTGACGTTTCGATTTCCCACTTTTTCAAATGTTTAACACATATTTCAATTTTTCGGTTTTTCAATTTTTTTAATTTTTTGACTTTCGATTTTTCAACATTTCAATTTTGGGAATTTTACAATTTCTGTTTTTTTCATTTTTCGATTTTTCATTTTTTTTTTTCGGTTTATCGACATTCTGATGTTTCGATTTTTCGAAAGACATTTTTTCACGTTGGTTATCTGCTTTATATACATATATTTCATATTGTCCGTACTTGTACGGACCGGAGGGAGTGTTGTTTACGCCTCTGGTTTTTACTTTATGGAGATTATCAAAAAAAATAAAACGCAAAATCAAACAATTAATATAATTTTTCAAAGAAGCGGGATTTGTTGTGCTGCACTTGAGAAGCGAGGGAAGCTCATTCGAAATAACCTTCGACCAATTTTTGCGAGTTGCTACCGCTTCTGAATTCATCCGCAAAAATTATAACGGAGCGTTTTTAGCAATAAATGATTGTAAATTTATAAACATCGTTAAAACTCAACTCGGATTCATAAACCACAAGTACAGGAGTACGTTATTTGATAAAATTTAAATATTTCCTATTCTAAATTTTGGAGATGATGTCATCCTACTGAAGATTATCTGTCTAAGAAAAATCGGCATAGACAAACAAAAATGGAAGACCTATGTTTTCGTACTTTAAAGATTACCCTATGACAATACTTCCGTAGCTTACTTTTGATTTATTTCCTACCATTTTCCCGTTATGGTAATTTTACTGGTTTCTTGGTCGCGCTGACCCACATCCCTCTTTTACGAACAATCCCATCCATCTTCCCGTTTTTTCCTCACCACCTCAATCTAGATCACGGCCCCAGCCACCCCTTGACCCAGACATTAATCGCCCATACATAACAATAAAACAAATCATAAACAAGGAGTGCCACACCGTTACATTCTAACAGTAAACATGCTCCTATCAAACATAACGGTAACCACGTAACCAAGAAGAAAGTGCACCAAGGCCAAATACCAAACGGATGCAGTACCAGCAACAATTACCCACAAATGCACCGAAACGTGCACCACCATGTCACGTTTCCCAGAAAGTGAACGCGAATTTTACCATTCAGTTCCTTCCTTTTGCAGAATGTGCATCTTTAATACGTTTTTTCCTACAGTGTAGATGTTTTGTGAATCCCCCAAATGGCCCACATACACAACGCGTTCGCCTCGATTTGGGTGCGCAACGGGGACGTGTTGACCACCGGAGACGACTGTCTTGGTAAAACCCCTAGAACCGCAACGCTAGAGCTAATGAGATGTTTCAGAGAGATTAAACGAAATCTTGGAGGAGTTGGCTGTGGAGGATGTGACGCTCAGGAGTTACAGACGAGCTATAGGTTTCGGAGGAAATATCAAAAAGGACCTCATCCCACTTCTGACTTGCGTTAAAGATGACGCAAGAAACAACACCAAGATCATTGACGCCGTGGTGAAGATTCTAGTGAATTTGACGATTCCGGTTGAGTACTTGTTGCCGCTGGAAGCCATGTCGAGGTCCGACGTGGGGAAGCACACGATTTTCGAGCTCAACAAGCTACTGACGAGTAGCAAGGAAGCTTTCACTGATTCCAGAAGCACCAAAGTTATAATGGACCACATTAAGTTTATCGTGGAGAGTGACCTCGAGCTGAATCTAGAGTACTGTGAGAGTATAAACAATTGTTTGTTGCTGTTGAGGAACATTTTGCATATACCGGAAGTGAAGAGTGTGCAAAGTAGCCCTTTGGCGCACTCCAGCATGCAGAACCAGATCATCTGGAACCTCTTCACCCAGAGCATCGACAAAGTCATCATTTACCTCATCTCCTGCCCGCAAAAGGTAAGTCTAAATCTGCACCACCTCAAACTAATTCACTCTTTGCAGATGTTCTTCGGCGTCACCATGGTCCAATTAATCGCGCTCCTGTACAAAGACCAGCACGTCGGCACCCTCCAGAAGCTTCTCAACCTGTGGCTGGAAGCCTCCCTCAGCGAGAGCTCCGAAGACAACGAAAGCAACACGTCGCCGCCCGAGCAAGGCAGCGACGACTCCTCCCCCATTATTACGTCGGACCCCACGTCCGACTCGAGCGACGGGGGCGGCGGCAAGCGCACAAAAACCACGTCCACCACCGAACGCAGCAAGAAGATCCTGTCGGGGATGATCCGGGGAAAGTCCACCGAGACCGAAACGAGCACGAGCAGCGGGGTGTCCACCGCGCACAATAGTTTCGACTCGGCGGACAGCATCAAGGACAAGAGCTTGTCCTTGAAGGGGAAGAGGGAGTGTCCGTCGTCGCAAAGCGAGGACTTCGGGTACGTCACCCAGGTGGAGAACCAGGAGTCGATTTCTACGTCGAGCAACGAGGAGGACCAGCCGCAGCAGAAGCCGGTGCACCAGAAGCCCCACTCGTTCCAGAAGACCAGGTACAATGCGGGGAAGAGTCGTGCAGCGACGGCGCTGGACAAGAAGGAATTGAGGAGGAAGAAGCTGGTGAAGAGGAGTAAAACCAACACGTGAGTGTGTAAACTTAATAGTCCAAGATCCGAAAGCCCCCAGACGTTACTTATTTTCTCACAAATAAAATGTATAGGATAAAGTAGTATTGAGTGTATGCATACCTGTTCGCTTAGGGCGACAATATAAAGGTACCAGGTGCTAAAGGTAGGTAAAAACAGTACTTACATTTCTCAAAGTTTCAGTGCTGATTTTGACGATTGTTTTAGAAAACTTTTAGTAACTTTTACCACACGCTTTAAAGCTCCCAAAAAAATAATGTAACTTTAATATATAATCTCAGTCTTGATTTTTATATATGATATTCAGGGAACTACTTCAATAATTTTTGTAACCAGACAGACTAATCGGAACGGCTAAACATTCCCCCAGACACACACAAAGAGTCACTATTAATCTCTGTTTTTTTTTTTTTAATATAGAGTTTTCTTTCAACAACAGGAAAGTTAAACACGTTTTCAGTTTTTTGTTGGGAAAGGAAGACTTCTTATTTTAAGAAAAAATGGACAAAGTACAAGCCCCGCCCACCCACCCCTTCTCAATTGTGATGAAGGTTTTATCCATCGTGAGTTGAAGGGCGGGGTTTAGTTGCAAAATCCTCATTTCTCTACAATAAATTACCATATGAAATTCATCACAATTGAGATTGGGGCGGGTGGGTGGGGTTTAAGCTTTGTTTCTTTTTAATATATAGAGTTTTCTTTCAACAACAAGAAAGTTAAACATGTTCTCAGTTTCTTGTTGGGAAAAGAAGACTTCTTATATTAAGAAAAAAATAGACAAAATACAAGCCCCGCCCACCCACCCCTTCTCAATTGTGATGAATGCTTTATTCATCGTGAGCTGAAGGGCGGACTTTACTTGCAAAATCTTCATTTCTCTACAAGAAATTACCATATGAAATTTATCACAATTGAGATTGGGGCGGGTGGGTGTAAAATGTCAAAATTTTTGCGTTAAAAAATTTCAATTTTCAAAAAGTTGTCTAAAAATTATAAAACAATTCAGGAACGTAGATCTCGACACGCCGATTCCAAAAATGTAGCATGTTGATTTGTTACGAAGCAACATTTTCGAAAAAATCACCGCGAAACGCGAATTTTTGAAAATTTCAAAAATTTCGAATTTTAACGGTGGATTCTGGAAAAACGGTTGAAGTTATCAAAAAACCGAGGCCGGATTTGAGTTCTAGAGCTCAAAATTCACAAGAAAATGTAATTAGTTGAGTTTCGAAGGTGTCAAAATTTTTGGGAAATTTGAAGAAGGGGAGACCGTTAAAAAATTTCAATTTTCATAAAGTTGTCCAAAAATTATGAAAAAATTCAGGGACGTAGATCACGATACGCCGATTCCAAAAATTTAGCATGTTGATTTGTTACGAAGCAACATTTTGGAAAAAATCGCTGCGAAATGCGAATTTTTGAAAATCTCAAAAATTTCGATATTTTAACGGTCGATTCTGGAAAAACGGTTGCAGTTATCAAAAAGCCGAGGCCGGATTTGAGTTTTAGAGCTCGAAATCTACAAGAAAATGTAATTAGTTGAGGTTCGAAAATTACAAAATTTTTGCGAAATTTGAAGTAGGGGGGACCGTTAAAAAATTTCAATTTTCAAAAAGTTGTCCAAAAATTATGAAAAAATTCAGGGACGTAGATCTCGACACATCGATTCCAAAAATATAGCATGTTGATTTGTTACCAAGCAACATTTTCGAAAAAATCGCTACGAAATACGAATTTTTAAAAATTTCAAAAATTTCGATATTTTAAGGGTCGATTCTGGAAAAACGGTTACAGTTATCAAAAAACCGAGGCCGGATTTGAGTTCAAGAGCTCGAAATCCACAAGAAAATGTATTCAGTTGAGGTTCGAAAATGTCAAAATTTTTGCGAAATTTGAAGAAGGGGGGACCGTTAAAAAACTTCAATTTTAAAAAAGTTGTCTAAAAATTATGAAAAAATTCAAGGACGTAGATCTCGACACGGCGATTCCAAAAATATAGCATCTTGATATGTGACAAAGCAACATTTTCGAAAAAATCGCCGCGAAATGCGAATTTTTGAAAATATCAAAAATTTCGATATTCTAACGGTGGATTCTGAAAAAACGGTTAAAGTTATCAGAAAATCGAGGCCGGATTTGAGTTTTAGAGCTCGAAATCTAGGAGAAAATGTAATTTGTTGAGTTTCGAAGTGTCAAAAATTTTGGGGACCGTTAAAAATTTCAATTTTCAGTAAGTTGTCTAAAAATTATGAAAAAATTCAAGGACGTAGATCTCGACACGCCGATTCCAAAAATATAGCTTGTTGATTTGTTACGAAGCAACATTTTCGAAAAATCGCTGCGAAATGCGAATTTTTGAAAATTTCAAAATTTTCGATAATTTAACGGTCGATTCAGGAAAAACGGTTGCAGTTATCAAAAAACCGAGGCCGCATTTGAGTTCTAGAGGTCGAAATCAACAAGAAAATGTGTTTAATTGAGTTTCGAAAATGTCAAAATTTTTGCGAAATTTGAAGAAGGGAAAATTTCAATTTTAAAAAAGTTGTCTAAAAATTATGAAAAAATTCAGGGATGTAGATCTCGACACGCCGATTCCAAAAATATAGCATGTTGATTTGTTACGGAGCAACATTTTCGAAAAAATCGCCGCGAAATGCGAATTTTTGAAAATTTCAAAACTTTCGATATTTTAACGGTGGTTTCTGGAAAAACGGTTGAAGTTATCAAAAAACCGAGGCCGGATTTGAGTTCTACAGCTCGAAATCTACGAGAAAATGCGTTTGGTTGAGGTTCGAAAATGTCAAAATTTTTGCGAAATTTGAATAAGGGGGGGGGACCGTTAAAAAATTTCAATTTTCAAAAAGTTGTCTAAAAATTATGAAAAAATTCAGGGACGTAGATCTCGACACGTCGATTCCAAAAATATAGCTTGTTGAATTGTTACGAAGCAACATTTTCGAAAAATCGCTGCGAAATGCGAATTTTTGAAAATTTCAAAATTTTCGATAATTTAACGGTCGATTCAGGAAAAACTGTTACAGTTATCAAAAAACCGAGGCCGGATTTGAGTTCAAGAGCTCGAAATCCACAAGAAAATGTATTTGATTGAGTTTCGAAAATGTCAAAATTTTTGCGAAATTTGAAGAAGGGGGGACCGTTAAAAAATTTCAATTTTCAAAAAGTTGTCTAAAAATTATCAAAAAAATTCAGGGACGTAGATCTCGACACGCCGATTCCAAAAATATAGCATGTTGATATGTGACAAAGCAACATTTTCGAAAAAATCGCCGCGAAATGCGAATTTTTGAAAATATCAAAAATTTCGATATTCTAACGGTGGATTCTGAAAAAACGGTTGAACTTATCAGAAAATCGAGGCCGGATTTGAGTTTTAGAGCTCGAAATCTAGGAGAAAATGCAATTTGTTGAGTTTCGAAAGTGTCAAAAATTTTGGGGACCGTTAAAAATTTCAATTTTCAGTAAGTTGTCTAAAAATTATGAAAAAATTCAGGAACGTAGATCTCGACACGCCGATTCCAAAAATATAACATGTTGGTTTGCTACGAAGAAACATTTTTGAAAAAATCGCCGCGAAATGCGAATTTTTGAAAATTTCAAAAATTTGGATATTTTAACGGTGGATTCTGGAAAAACAGTTGCAGTTATCAAAAAACCGAGGCCGGATTTGAGTTCAAGAGCTCGAAATCTACAAGAAAATGTAATTAGTTGAGGTTCGAAAATGTCAAAATTTTTGCGAAATTTGAAGAAGGGGGAAAATTTCAATTTTAAAAAAGTTGTCCAAAAATTATGAAAAAATTCAGAGACGTAGATCTCGACACGCCGATTCCAAAAATATAGCTTGTTGATTTGTTACGAAGCAACATCTTTGAAAAAACCACCGCGAAATGCGGATTTTTGAAAATATCAAAAATTTCGATATTCTAACGGTGGATTCTGAAAAAACGGTTGAAGTTATCAGAAAATCGAGGCCGGATTTGAGTTTTAGAGCTCGAAATCTAGGAGAAAACGCAATTTGTTGAGTTTCGAAAGTGTCAAAAATTTTGGGGACCGTTAAAAATTTCAATTTTCAGTAAGTTGTCTAAAAATTATGAAAAAATTCAGGAACGTAGATCTCGACACGCCGATTCCAAAAATATAACATGTTGGTTTGTTACGAAGAAACATTTTTGAAAAAATCGCCGCGAAATGCGAGTTTTTGAAAATTTCAAAAATTTCGATATTTTAACGGTCGATTCTGGAAAAACAGTTGCAGTTATCAAAAAACCGAGGCCGGATTTGAGTTCAAGAGCTCGAAATCTACAAGAAAATGTAATTAGTTGAGGTTCGAAAATGTCAAAATTTTTGCGAAATTTGAAGAAGGGGGAAAATTTCAATTTTAAAAAAGTTGTCCAAAAATTATGAAAGAATTCAGGGACGTAGATCTCGACACGCCGGTTCCAAAAATATAGCTTGTTGATTTGTTACGAAGCAACATCTTTGAAAAAACCACCGCGAAATGCGGATTTTTGAAAATATCAAAAATTTCGATATTCTAACGGTGGATTCTGGAAAAACGGTTGCAGTTATCAAAAAACCGAGGCCGGATTTGAGTTCTAGAGGTCGAAATCAACAAGAAAATGTGTTTAATTGAGTTTCGAAAATGTCAAAATTTTTGCGAAATTTGAAGAAGGGACAATTTCAATTTTAAAAAAGTTGTCTAAAAATTATGAAAAAATTCAGGGATGTAGATCTCGACACGTCGATTCAAAAAATATAGCATGTTGATTTGTTACGAAGCAACATTTTCGAAAAAATCGCCGCGAAATGCGAATTTCAAAAATTTCGATATTTTAACGGTCGATTCAGGAAAACTTGGTATATTAAGAAAAAATGGACAAAATACACAGTGTCTGGCAGTATTAATTATTAATGTTTAACAATATTTTCTAAAACAACTGTAAAAAGATGCATTGAAACTTTGAGAAATGTAAGTACTGTTTCTACCTTTAGCACCTGGTACCTGCAAATTGGCCATCGACCCAAGCTAGCAGGTATGCATACACTCAAGGTATATATATACCAACACTACTTTTATTTGTGAGAAAATAAGTAACGTCTGGGGGCCCTGGGATCTTGCTCTATAAGTAACTAAATCTAGGGATTTTTGTTTTGTAACGAAAACTAGACACTTGACGTCATACGCAGTCATGTTCTTTTACGTCTGTGGTTATAGCTACAAGTTTGAGGGTCTGTGAGACAACTTTGGTAGCATAAAAGACAAATACACATTTTATGTGCCCCCCTTGGTATCAGCAAAATTTCAGTTATTGTAATATATAAAGTTATAAAGATCAACGTACCTGAGTTTGAAATTCAAACGTACAACTCAAATGTCCAGGCACAGAACACACACACAATCACTAATAAATAAAACACCGAACACAAAAAAACTCGAATTTATTTTAATTTTCCTCAAATTTCTCAAATTTAACTTCACACAAAACACCAGTGCGCGGAATTGCGCACATTTTGGTCACATGAATACCAACCTACACAAATAAAACCCTAACTAAACCTCCTTAAAAACGCGATATTCAGAAAAAACACAACTATTACAACTAAATTTAACTTTAAAGCACTTCCATATTTGTTGATTTTTGCGAAAACTAACACAATTACGCTTTAATTAGTAAAAAGACGTCATAATCTTGTCTTGGGTGCTACCAACATTACGACTAAAAAATACCAAACGAAACGAGTCGAATTTTGAATTAAAATGGTTCTTCTTTGTGTAGTATTAACATGAAAGGGCTGCTCCACCACCTCCCGACCGACGAGGACATCGCCAACATCCTCAAGGAGTTCACGGTGGACTTCCTCCTCAAAGGTTACGGTATCCTGGTGCAAGACCTCCACTGCCAGCTCCTCTCGAACATCCACGTCCAAATCGACACGTCCCACTTCTTCTGGCTCATCACGTACTTCCTCAAGTTCGCAACGCAGCTCGAACTCGACCTCGAGCACGTCAGTACGGTCCTCTGCCAGGAGATTCTTTCCTACCTAGTGTTTCAAGCTGTCTGGATCTACGAAGAGCTAGAAATGAGCGAGAAGATCGCAAACTTTGACTTGAAGCCTTGTCTGCGACGGTTGCATTTGGTAATGGGTGTCACAAAAAAATTATGGACACGTTTGATGGGTGCTTTCAGGTGGTTACTGCCTTTCGCGAGTTTTTGCAAGCTGTGGAAATGTACCAGAAGATGATCCACTTGAGTGATGATGACCGAATGGGTTTAGTTAAGTTACAGAATCAAATTACAGACATGGACGACTTAAAATCCCTCTTTTTGTTACTGTTGCGGCAGTATAACCCCACCATCCAAAGCAGACAGTACCTGCAAGACTTAATTTTAACCAATCACAACTATTTGTTGTTTTTGGATTCAGCCACCAAAGGCCGACAATCGTTTAATTTAATGGAACATCTTAAACAGTAAGGTTTTTCTCTGCAGCGCCATCTTTACTAGGTGTTTAAAATGCACATGTAGGGGTAAGGGCAGTGGTGGAGTAAGTACATCTGACTAACTTCTTAACTCTCACACTAACCTCATGACTTGTCTGTTGCTTGGCTTAACACACCCAGTGACTCTCATATCTGTGATCTTATTGCGTACTGTTAAATTGCTTTAGTTGGCTGTTCTTATACAGGTTGTTTCACCAAGATTGACGCTCCCTGCTTACTTCAAGTCTGAGATGGAACACCCTGTACTCATACACTATTTTCATACATTTATATTTGTATAAAAATAGTGTACTTCCTGTGCCCCCCCATCCCGATACTAGAAAATGCATCTTGTTTACCCCCTTGCAGATTCGCCACCGTCGAAATAATGCGTCAGTACGGCCTCCTCCTCGAAAGCTTCAAAGAAAACGGCGAATTCGTCAACAACTGCATCTTCACCATGATGCACCACATCGGCGGCGACCTGGAGCACGTCACCACGTTGTTTCAGCCCGGCATTCTCAAAACCTTCTCGCAAATATGGGAAACCGACTACGAGCTGTGTGACGTAAGCCCCCACTCCTTCCCCCACTCTTATCTCACGCGTGTCGCTGCAGGATTGGTCGGACTTGATCGAGTACATCATCCACAAGTTCATCAACACGCCCCGCTCCAACCCCGACTTGCGCTCGCCCTCTGACACTGGCAGCAAGGAAGAGGAGTGGACGGAAGAGGAGAAAGATAACTTGTTGGGGTACTACAACCAGAGTCAGTACTCGCACGACATGATTGCCAACATAACGAAAAAATACGAGAAGTGTGGTGTTAGACAAAAGACGCAGATGTCGATCATTCGGCAGCTGCTCGAACAAAACATTATTAATGAAAGCCAGTACAACGACTTCGTCCAGCAGCCGGAGCTGAAGGACACCAAGGAGCTGTCGGAGCCGCTGGACCTAGAGGAGGCGCCGTCGGGCGTCGATGAAGGGATTCGGATTCTCAGAGAGTACTTGTGCAGAGACAATAAGAGCAAGTTCGTGTCGTGGCTGCAGAAGGTGCTCATCGACACGTGCTACGTCAAGCTAGTGCTGGCCAACCCCCACGAGTTCAACGGGGGCAAAGCCCTAACGGAGCCCGTCATTTATTACTATGCACGTACGTATTAATAATAAATGAAATATGAATATTTTTTTATTTAAAAAAGTAACTTACAATTAACTTTAAATTCCGAAAATTGAAAACTTAAAATATCGAAAAGTTGAAAAATTGTTAAAACCGAAAGTTCAAAAAACGAAAAATTGAAAATCCAAAAAGTAAAAAGTCGAGAAATCGAAAAATCCAGAACGTGAAAAATCCAAACGTCGAAATACTAAAAAATCCCAAAATTGAAACATTGAAGAATCGAAAAATTGAGAAAACTCACAAAAGTGAACGAAATATCCAAAAATTGGGAAATTAAAAAATTAAAAAATTGGGAAATCAAAAAGCCAAACAATTGCAAACCCAAAGAATCGAAAAATCGAAACCTTGGCAAGTCGAAAATGGGCAAATCAAAAAATACATTGAGAAACCGGAAAACTGAAAATTAAGAAACGTCAAAACTAGAAAATTTAAAAAATCGGATAATTCAAAAATCGAAACATCGAAAAATTGAAAAACTGAGACATTCAAAACATCTAAACATCCGAATCTCGATAAATCGAGTTCTCAAAAAATTGAAAAATCGAAAAATAAATTCGGAAAAAAGAAAAATTAAAATACACAAGAACTGAAAACTCGAAAAATTCGGAAATCCGAATGTAAAACAGTCGAAAATTGAAAAATCTGAAGTATAAAAAACGAAAAACTGAAAATCCAAAAAATAAAAAATCGATAAGTCGAAAAATAGAAACATTGAAAAATCCCAAAACTGAAACAAATATCCAAAATTGAGAAATTAAAAAATTAGCCAACCGAAAAATCCAAAAATGGAAGAATTGAAGAATTGGAGAACTGAAAAATCGAAACTGCGAATTCGAGAAACGGGAAAATAAAAAAAAATATATATCAATTAAAAAATTGGAAAACTGAAAATTTAGCAACGTCAAAATTTGAAAAATTGGAAAATAGAAATATTGAAGAACTAGAAAATCTAAAATTTAAAACATTGAACAATTGAAATATCGCAAAATTGAAAAGTGGAGAAATCCAAACATCAAACAATCAAAAAAGAAAAATTGAAAAATCGGATAACTGAAAAATCGAAAAATTGTAAAATCGAAAAACCGATCAGAAATCCAAGTATAAAACTGTCGAAAATTTGAAAAATCGAAAATTTAACGAAAAATTGAAAATCCAAAAAGTAAAAAAGGGGTGGAAACCCAAAAACTGCAAACTGAAAAATTTAAAAACTGGAAAATCGACGAATTGGAATCGATTGGCCTGAAAATTTAAAAAATTGGAAAATCGAAAGAAACAACAAAAATTAAGGAAATGAAAAAACAAAAAATTGTGATATAAAATCGAGAAAATGAAAAATAAAAAATCAGGTAAATGCACAATAAAAATCGGGGAATTGAAAAATCTAGGGGACGAAAAATTGAAAAAGGGCAAAATTAAAAATCGAGGATGTAAAAAATGGAAAAATGAGAAATATAATAATAATAATAATAATAGATTTATTTTCTACAGGTATTTTCACCCAGTTACAGAAAATAATAATAAATTAACTAATATATTTCTAAAAATAAAGTAAACTTAAAATAAAAGAATAGGAATGAAAAGAAAAGCCTACCGTTTTTACCATTTTTATTATTAGAAATTGTAATATGTATTGAAAAATTGGAAAATTTGGAAGTCGACAAACTGTAAAATTGAAAAATCAAAAATAAAAAACGAAAAAGTGTAAGTATTATAAAAACTTGAAAAATGTAAGAAGTTAAAATCAAACTTGAAAAATTGAAAAAAACCTAAAAATTTGAAAAATTGTAAAATCGAAAGAAACAACAAAAAATAAATGAAATGAAATAACGAAAAACTGTAATATAAAATCGAAAAATTGAAAATTAAAAAATCGGGAAAATGAAAAATAAAAATCGCAAACAAAAAATTGGAAAAGGGAAAAATTAAAAATTGAGAAAGTGAAAATTCAGAAACGTCAAAACTTGAAAATTTAAAAAATTGGAAAATTGAAAAATCGGATAATTCAAAAATCGAAACATCGAGAAATTCAAAAACTGAAACAATCAAAACATCGAAACATCCGAATTTCGATAAAAGGGAGTTCTCAAAAAATTGAAAAATCGAAAAATAAAAAATTCGGAAAAAAGAAAAATTAAAATATACAAGAACTGAAAACTCGAAAAATTCAGAAATCGAAATATAGTAAAACAGTCGAAAATTGAAAAATCCAAAGTGTAAAAAACGAAAAACTGAAAATCCAAAAAATAAAAAATCGAAAAGTCGAAAAATAGAAATATTGAAAAATCCCAAAATTGAAACAAATATCGAAAATTGAGGAATTAAAAAATTAGCCAACCGAAAAATCCAAAAATAGAAGAATTGAAGGATTGAAAAATCGAAACTGCGAATTCGAGAAACGGGAAAATAAAAAAAATATATTAATTGAAAAATCGGAAAACTGAAAATTTAGCAACGTCAACATTTGAAAAATTGGAAAATACAACATTGAAGAACTGGAAAATCAAAAAATCCAGAAATCGAAAAATCTAAAATTTAAAACATTGAACAATTGAAATATCGCAAAATTGAAAAATGGAGAAATCCAAACATCAAGGAATCAAAAAAGAAAAATTGGAAAATCTAAAACTTAAAAATCGAAAAACTGGAAAATCGACAAATCCAGAATTTAAAAAAATTGAAAAATCGGATAACTGAAAAATTAAAACATTGAAAAATAGAAAAAAAAATTGGGAAATCGAAGTATAAAACTGTCGAAAATTTTAAAAATCTAAAGTTTAACGAAAAATTGAAAATCCAAAAAGTAAAAAAGGGGTGGAAATCCAAAAACTGCAAACTGAAAAATTTTAAAATTGGAAAATCGACGAATTGGAATCGATTGGCCTGAAAATTTGAAAAATTGAATAAACGAAAAATTGGAAGATCGAAAGAAACAACAAAAATTAAGAAATGAAAAAACAAAAAATTGTGATATAAAATCAAGAAAAATCTAAAATCAGGGAATTGCAAAATTAAAATCGGGGAGTTGAAAAATTTAGGGGACGAAAAATTGAAAAAGGGAAAAAATAAAAATCGAGAATGTGAAAAATTGGAAAATTTGGAAGTTGACAAACTGTAAAATTGAAAAATTAAAAATAAAAAAACAAAAAGTGTAAGTATAATACAAACTTGAAAAATGTAAAAAATGAAAATGAAACTTGAAAATTTGAACAAAAATTGAAAAAAAAACTGAAAATTTGAAAAATTGAATAAACGAAAAATTGTAAAATGGAAAGAAACAACAAAAAATAAAGGAATGAAAAAACGGAAAATTGTGATATAAAATCGAAAAAGTAAAAATTAAAAAATGAAAATGAAAAATAAAAAGTCGGAAACAAAAAATTGGAAAAGGGAAAAATTAAAAATTGAGAAACTGAAAATTCAGAAACGTCAAAACTTGAAAATTTAAAAAATTGGAAAATTGAAAAAATCGGACAATTCAAAAATCGAAACATCGAAAAATGGAAATATTGAAAAATCCCAAAACTGAAACAAATTTCCAAAATTGAGAAATTAAAAAATTAACCAACCGAAAAATCCAAAAATCGAAGAATTGAAGAACTGAAAAATCGAAACTGCGAATTCGAGAAACGAGAAAATAAAAAAAAATATATTAATTGAAAACTGAAAATTTAGCAACGTCAAAATTTGAAAAATTGGAAAATAGAAATGTTGAAGAACTGGAAAATCAAAAAATCCAAAAATCGAAAAATGGAGAAATCCAAACATCAAAGAATCAAAAAAGAAAAATTCGAAAATCTAAAACTTTAAAATCGAAAAACGGATAAATCCAGAAATAAAAGAAATTGAAAATTTTTTAAAAAGAAAAATTAAAACATCAAAAAGTTGAAAAAAAATTGACGAAAAATCGAAAATCCAAAAAGTAAAAAAGGGGTGGAAATCCAAAAACTGCAAACTGCAAAATTTACAAAATTGGAAAATCGACGAATTGGAATCGATTGGTCTGAAAATTTGAAAAATTGGAAAATCGAAAGAAACAACAAAAAATAAGGAAATGAAAAAACAAAAAATTGTGATATAAAATCGAGAAAATGGAAAATAAAAAATCAGGAAAATGCAAAATAAAAATCGGGAAGTTGAAAAATGGAAAAATGAAAAATTGGAAAATTCGACAAACTGTAAAATCAAAAATAAAAAAACGAAAAAGTGTAAGTATAATAAAAATTTGAAAAATGTAAAAAGTGAAAATCAAACTTGAAAATTTGAAAAAAAAATTGAAAAAAACCTGAAAATTTGAAAAATTGAATAAAGGAAAAATTGTAAAATCGAAAGAAACAACAAAAAATACAGGAAATGAAAAAACGGAAAATTGTGATATAAAATTAAAAAATCGGGAAAATGAAAAATAAAAATCGAAAACAAAAAATTGGAAAAGGGAAAAATTAAAAATTGAGAAATTGAAAATTCAGAAACGTCAAAACTTGAAAATTTAAAAAATTGGAAAATTGAAAAGTCGGATAAGTAATTCAAATATCGAAACATCCGAGTCTCGATAAATCGAGTTCTCAAAAAATTGAAAAATCGAAAAATGAAAAATTCGGAAAAAAGAAAATTCAAATATACAAGAACTGAAAACTCGAAAAATTCAGAAATCGAAATATATGTAAAACAGTCGAAAATTGAAAAATCTAAAGTTTAAGAAACGAAAAACTAAAAATCCGAAAAATAAAAAATCGAAAAGTCGAAAAATAGAAACATTGAAAAATCCCAAAACTGAAACAAATATCCAAAATTGAGAAATTAAAAAATTAGCCAACCGAAAAATCCAAAAATCGAAGAATTGAAGAACTGAAAAATCGAAACTGCGAATTCGAGAAACGGGAAAATCAAAAAAAAATATATTAATTGAAAAATCGGAAAACTGAAAATTTAGCAACGTCAAAATTTGAAAAATTGGAAAATAGAGATATTAAAGAACTGGAAAATCTAAAATTTAAAACATTGAACAATTGAAATATCGCAAAATTGAAAAATGGAAAAATCCAAACATCAACGAATCAAAAAGGAAAATTGGAAAATCTAAAACTTAAAAATCGAAAAATTGAAAAATCGACAAATCGAAACTACAGAATTTAAAAAAATTTAAAAATCGGATAACCGAAAAATCGAAACATCGAAAAATAGGAAAATCGAAAAACCGAGAAATCCAAAAATCGAAACATCGAGAAATAGGAAAAAATTGAGAAATCGAACAATCAAAACATACAAACATCTGAATTCGATAAATCGAGAAATAAAAAAAATTGAGAAATCGAAGTATAAAACTGTCGAAAATTTGAAAAATCGAAAGTTTAACGAAAAATTGAAAATCCAAAAAGTAAAAAACTGCAAACTGAAAAATTTTAAAATTGGAAAATCGAAAGGAACAAAAAAATTAAGGAAATGAAAAAACAAAAAATTGATATAAAATCGAGAAAATAAAAATTAAAAATTCGCCACATTGAAAAATAAAAATCGGGAACATGAAAAATTGTGGAAACGAAAAATTGAGAAACTGAAAATTCGAAAAATTGAAAAATCGAAAGAAACAACAAGAAATAAAGGAATTGAAAAAATGAAAATTTGTGACATAAAACCGAGAAAATGAAAATAAAAAAAATCGAAAAATGAGAAAAAACTGTAATATCGAAAAATTGAAAGATTTAGAAGTCAAGAAACTGTAAAATTGAAAAAATCAAAAATAAAAAAACGAAAAAGTATATAATGAAAACTTGAAAAATGTCAAAAGTGAAAATCAAACATGAAAATTTGAAAAATCGAAATTAAAAATTGAAAAACTTAAAATTCGAAAAAATGAAATAAAGAAAGAAATATGTATTGTAAAATCAAAATATTGAAAATTAAAGAAATTGAAAAATTGGAAGACTGGAGATCCAAAAACTGCAAAGTGAAAAATTTAAAAATTGAAAAATGGACGAACTGAAAATTCAAAGCCTGAAAATTTGAAAAATTGAACAAATGAAAAATTGTAAAATCGAAAAAAAAAACAGAAAATAAAAGAAATGAAAAAACGGACAATTGTGATATAAATCGAGAAAATAAAAATTAAAAATTCGCCACATTGAAGAAAAATTGTGGAAACGCAAAATTGAGAAACTGAAAATTCGAAAAATTGAAGAAACGAAAAATTGAAAAATGGAAAGAAACAACAAGAAATAAAGGAATTGAAAAAATGAATTTGTGACAAAACCGAGAAAGTGAAAATTAAAAAAATGGGGAAGATGAAAAATAAAAATCGAGAACTTGAAAAATGAAAAATAAAAAAACGGAAACTTGAAAAATGTCAAAAGTGAAAATTAAACATGAAAATTTGAAGAAACGAAATTTGAAAAATCGAAAGATTAAAAATTGAAAAACTTACAATTCGAAAAAATGAAAATTAAAGAAATTGAAAAATTGGAAGACTGGAAATGCAAAAACTGCAAATTGAAAAATTTTAAACGTGAAAAATCATGGAATTGAAAAATCAAAACTTGAAAAATTGAATAAATAAAAAATTGTATATCGAAAGAAACAACAAAAAAATAAAGGAAATAAAGAAACCAAAAATTGTGATAAAAAATCGGGAAACGTCGAGAAAACATAAAATTTGTAAGTAAAACTGGACTTCAAGAGCGACGAAAGTTCTGTCTAAATAGCTGACTTATATAGTGACTTTCTTCCAGTGCTGGACCTCCCCATCCCTGTGATTCCCTGGACCGCCGAACAAACCGCCATCTTAAAGTACCAGTCCTTCGTGCTACTCCTGCACAAACTGGGTCTCTACTTGCCCATAGACACCGGCAAGATCTTCGTCACGATCCCGAATTTCTGGAACGCCGAGCACGTGTTCACAATGGCGCAGCAACTCGGACCCATCGATCCAGGTTTGCCAACCCGCCAAATCCGCCATTTTGGTTCACGGTGACGTTGCAGGCAAGCTTCACTTCGACATCGCGATTTTCAAGGGGCGCAATCGGTGCGAGACTCTAACCAAGGAGATCGCGGACATCACGAGCTCCTTCCAGAGGGGTAAATTTTCGATGAGCGACAGCAAGCAGACGCCTACTATGGTCAGATACACGCCTTTGTAAGTTTTTTGGGTTGGTTTTGAGCGGGGGTGTGAAAAGTCGGCGTTTTTAGACCGAACTCGAGCGAGTGGTTTCAAACCGATAATTTCCAAGCGAGGGTACTTCCAGAGTATGAAGTACCGATGACTAGGTAAATCGGTGTTGTGTTTGTTGTATTTTGGTGTCTCGTGTTGCTAGATTCGTTTTTGTAATTATATATTTTTTTGGGTGTGTTTAGTGCGCACCCCTTGTCGATCACCATCCCCGGGCTGGAGGACTTCTCGTCCGACCTCTCCCCACCCGAACTCAGTATCGTTGACAATCACGTGGTACACAGCAACATGGACTGTTCTCCGATCCACGACGATAACGAACGAAGTACTTGCGAGACCGCGTCTATAGAATCCGATTTGACTAGAATGTGCGTAAGTGACGAGGAAGACAAGCTGATTCTAGTTCTAGAACAAAAATGATTTCTCTGTACTTTGATTGCGATTTAGGTGTTCTTCAGTTGCGTTTGTGTGTCGCTTTAGATGTTGTCCATTTGTTACGCTGTGCGTCAGATGAAAATAAACTATTTTCGAATTAACCGGCGTTTTTTCTCACATCCTTTATTGGTTAAAAAACGGTTAGAACCGAAAACAGTTCAAAACTGACATTGACAGGTGATATGTTACGTCAAAACAATATATTGCATTTCACAGGAAATGTGTAACACATAACTTAAGTACAATGTATATAATTTAATTCTCCATAGTATATAAAATGTACAACAATTACATGCACAATAACGCCTCTTAAACTTTTTTTACATAAGTGAGTGGATCCGTTGGGGAAATGGAACTTTCTAGAATCGAACAATCGCAACGGGCTGAATTTCCAGAACCGATCCAAGCAAATTCACTACTAAAAGTTTACGTAATTTACATAGTTTGACTGCGTACAGTCAAAAATGGATAGATTTGAATTACTGTAATATCATAAAGCAATATAATAATAATGAAACTTCAACTAACTTTACCCCACCCAACTTATTGGTTGTTCTTTTCGTACTCGAGAACGTCTTCTAAGTTGAAAATGTCGTACTCGGTGATCTTGTTCCCGGAGAACTGCGCGAACTTGGCTTGGACGTGCAAATCAGCGGAGCGTTTAACCACTATAAAAAAAAAAATAGTAGCGGATCGTTCGAGAACCTCACAATCGCGACTCACCTCCTCCTACGTACTTCTCCAACTTATAAACCGGCCTATTCTCACACTCCTTCGCTATATAACTCCCGATCCCTTTTAAATTCTTTAATGGAGGTGTCACCACCCTCATGGTCTCCCTCACCACCTGGGTGTCCACTTTGTAGTACCCATCCCACATTTTATGGATCAAATCGAAGAGCGACCTCGGCGGCAACACATTCCCCCTATTCAAAGGCATCACGAAACACCTATTCCCCGTAATGTCAATAATCCCCGTGATGTTAGTATTAAAGTCATGGATGAACCTACAACACCACATAATCACCCTAATTAAAATTACTTAAAATTAGTGACCCACCTTCCGCTGCGTCCATCGCGGAAGTCCGGCACGTCGATCTTCTCGTACTTCTCCCCATCCAGATCGATCTCGAAGTCCTCGCGGAAGAAGTTGCGGATGATGTCGTCGAAGTTGTCGCGTGCGACGCTGTTGTCGTCGTCGTCGTCGTCCACCGTGTTGAACGATCCCGGGGCGGGCATGCGGTTGCGCTCGGGCAGGTAGAGGGCCTGCACGTCCTCGGAGGGCATGGGGATTTGAGCGTAGCCGGTGAAGCGGCGCATCTGCGCGCTTATGTACTGGTTGTAGAGGATCTTGCCGACGAAGATGCCGGTGCTCACCACCAGCAGGGAGGTGAGGATGAGGCAGAGGGTGGTGGCGGTGGAGACGCGGCGGGCGCGGGCTTTGAGGAAGACCACGTCGGAAGGCTGACCTTCGACGTCCTCGGCTGGCGGCTGGAAAGGCACGGATGGTTAGCTGTGGGCGGCGGAGCGCGAAGCGGAAAGTTGCCATGCGGAAGCGGGCGACGGAGAAATTGGGCGCAAGGGTGAAAAAGTATTCACTTTTTGCGTACGCGTTTTGATTGAGCCAATCGACTTGAATAAATTTTGAATTGTTAGTTTAAGTACTTTTAGGTATGTCGCCAAACTCATCATCACAGTTAGAAAAATTGGTCGAAAGTTGTGTCGAGAGAACTTCCCTTGCTTCTGGAGTACAGTCCAACAAATACTGCTTCTCCGAAAAATTATAAAATTTGATTTTGCGGAATTTTACTTTTTCGTGATAACCTCTATGGAGGAAAAACAATACATACAACAATACTAGTCACAGTGTAATAGAAAAAAAAGAAGGTTGGTAGCCCCGAAAAGATTTAATAATTTTTATTAAAAAAAAGACACTTGGGTTTCACATTAAAAAAAAAGGACAATTGGAGGTTTCAGATTTTCAAAAAAGACAGTTGGGACCCCCGAGGTTTCACATTAAAAAAAAGGACAGTTGGGACCTTCGAGGTTTCATATTAAAAAAAAAAAAAAAAACATTTGGGGCCCCGAGAAGGTTTCACATTTTTTAAAAATACAGTTGGAAGCCCCGAGAAGGTTTCACATTTTCAAAAAAGACAGTTGGGACCACCGAGAAGGTATTACATTAAAAAACAAAAAAACATTTGGGTCCCCGAGAAGGTTTCACATAAAAAAAAAAAAACATTTGGGGCCCCCGAGAAGGTTTCACATTTTTAAAAAAATACAATTGGAAGCCCCAAGAAGGTTTAACATTAAAAACAAAGGACAATCGGGGCCCCAGAGAAGGTTTCACATTTTCAAAAAAGACAGTTCGGACCCCCGAGAAGGTATTACATTAAAAAACAAAAGAACATTTGGGGCCCCGAGAAGGTTTCACATTAAAAAAAATCATTTTGGGCCCCCGAGAAGGTTTCACATTTTTAAAAAATACAACTGGAAGCCCCAAGAAGGTTTAACATTAAAAACAAAGGACAATCGGGGCCCCAGAGAAGGTTTCACATTTTCAAAAAAGACAGTTGGGACCCCCGAGAAGGTATTACATTAAAAAACAAAAGAACATTTGGGGCCCCGAGAAGGTTTCACATTAAAAAAAATCATTTTGGGCCCCCGAGAAGGTTTCACATTTTTAAAAAATACAACTGGAAGCCCCAAGAAGGTTTAACATTAAAAACAAAGGACAATCGGGGCCCCAGAGAAGGTTTCACATTTTCAAAAAAGACAGTTGGGACCCCCGAGAAGGTATTACAATAAAAAACAAAAGAACATTTGGGGCCCCGAGAAGGTTTCACATTAAAAAAAATCATTTTGGGCCCCCGAGAAGGTTTCACATTTTCAAAAAAGACAGTTGGGACCCCCGAGAAGGTTTCACATTAAAAACAAAGGACAATTGGGGCCCCCGAGAAGGTTTCACATTTTCAAAAAAGAGAGTTGAGACCCCCGAGAAGGTTTCACATTTTCAAAAAAGACAGTTGGGACCCCCGATAAGGTTTCACATTAAAAAAAAAAACATTTGCCCCCCCCCCCAGGTTTCAGATTTTAAAAAAATACAGTTGCAAACCCCGAGAAGGTTTCACATTAAAAAAAAGGACAACTGGGGCCCCCGAGGTTTCACATTAAAAAAAAGGACAATTGGAGCCCTCGAGAAGGTTTCATATTTTCAAAGAAGACAGTTGAGACCCCCGAAGTTTCACATTAAAAAAACATTTGGGGCCCCCGAGAAGGTTTCATATTTTCAAAAAAGACAGTTGGGACCCCCGAGAAGGTTTCACATTAAAAAAAAAAAAAAACATTTGGCGCCCCCGAGAAGGTTTCGCATTTTTAAAAAATACAGTTGGAAGCCCCGAGAAGGTTTAACATTAAAAACAAAGGACAATTGGGGCCCTAGAGAAGATTTCAGATTTTCAAAAAAGACAGTTGGGACCCCCGAGGAGGTTTCACATTAAAAAACAAAAGAACATTTGGGGCCCCGAGAAGGTTTCACATTAAAAAGAAAAACATTTGGGGCCCCCGAGAAGATTTCACATTTTCAAAAAAGACAGTTGGAAGCCCCGAGAAGGTTTAACATTAAAAACAAAGGACAATTGAGGCCCCCGAGAAGGTTTCACATTTTCAAAAAAGACAGTTGGGACCACCGAGAAGGTTTCACATTAAAAAAAAAACATTTGCCCCCCTCGAGGTTTCAGATTTAAAAAAAATACAGTTGCAAACCCCGAGAAGGTTTCACATTAAAAAAACATTTGGGGCCCCCGAGAAGGTTTCATATTTTCAAAAAAGACAGTTGGGACCCCCGAGAAGGTATTACATTAAAAAACAAAAGAACATTTGGGAGCCCGAGAAGGTTTCACATTAAAAAAAAAAAAAAACATTTGGCGCCCCCGAGAAGGTTTCGCATTTTTAAAAAATACAGTTGGAAGCCCCGAGAAGGTTTAACATTAAAAACAAAGGACAATTGGGGCCCCAGAGAAGATTTCAGATTTTCAAAAAAGACAGTTGGGACCCCCGAGGAGGTTTCACATTAAAAAACAAAAGAACATTTGGGGCCCCGAGAAGGTTTCACATTAAAAAGAAAAACATTTGAGGCCCCCGAGAAGGTTTCACATTTTCAAAAAAGACAGTTGGGACCACCGAGAAGGTTTCACATTAAAAAAAAAACATTTGCCCCCCTCGAGGTTTCAGATTTAAAAAAAATACAGTTGCAAACCCCGAGAAGGTTTCATATTAAAAAAACATTTGGGGCCCCCGAGAAGGTTTCATATTTTCAAAAAAGACAGTTGGGACCCCCGAGAAGGTATTACATTAAAAAACAAAAGAACATTTGGGAGCCCGAGAAGGTTTCACATTAAAAAAAAAAAAACATTTGGCGCCCCCGAGAAGGTTTCGCATTTTTAAAAAATACAGTTGGAAGCCCCGAGAAGGTTTAACATTAAAAACAAAGGACAATTGGGGCCCCAGAGAAGATTTCAGATTTTCAAAAAAGACAGTTGGGACCCCCGAGGAGGTTTCACATTAAAAAACAAAAGAACATTTGGGGCCCCGAGAAGGTTTCACATTAAAAAGAAAAACATTTGGGGCCCCCGAGAAGATTTCACATTTTCAAAAAAGACAGTTGGAAGCCCCGAGAAGGTTTAACATTAAAAACAAAGGACAATTGAGGCCCCCGAGAAGGTTTCACATTTTCAAAAAAGACACTTGGGACCACTGAGAAGGTTTCACATTAA